AAGGGGAAAATATAAAAAAAATTTAATTCATTAACATACGAATGGCGAGTAATTAAATGATTTTTTTACATATAGCTATTAAATTGCTGATATATTTCAAATGCATTTGTTTTACATTGATACCTAMATAGTAATAATTAATTGTTCTATGATTTATATTTGAGTTCCTTAGATTTCTCTACTTTAAAATATAAATATAGTAGACTGTAGAATTAATTTATAAACTAACTACAGTTAAATGAAATGTAAAATAATTTAGTATCAATAATTAATTAAAATATTATGTATTTTCATAAAATGTTTCACTTGGCCTTTACACTCATAGAATTTAAGACAATTTATTACTTTAGTTACCCAACAATATCTTATTATAAACACGCGATATATGAAATCGACCATATAACAATTGCATTTTAAAATGAAATAAAAATCGTTTTCGCTAGGTATTCATGATTTAAATAATATTATTAGCATATAATTACTAATCAAGCATAGGTATTTAGCTTGGTAATGTACTAAATTGTTTGTAAGTACCAAAATAATGTTAAAAACTTTATAAAATATATTCAATCAATAGCGATGTTGACAAAAATGTTTGGTAATGTGCCAATCCTTTTAGACGCCTCATGATTCTATCAGAAAATCATGAAGTACCTAAGTGTAATTATAGATTGTTTATTTATAAAAAGTCAAACTATAAAGTAAAAACCACTTAAGACATTTGTATTTTTGAAAATAATTAAATTTCTAGTAAAAAATTTCATGATATTCGTATTTTTATATTATTATATTAGTGGGTGTTTTTATAATCATTAACTCCCGTGTCACATGTTTTGAATATTTTCTATGGATTAAAAAAAAAAAATCTCGGATAAATAAATAATACGAGTACAGGACTTTCAATGCGTAAACGCTTAAATATTTATATTTGTTTTCATTTATATATTTAAAATATGATTACGAAAACGTTGATAATTTAATTCATATTTTCGATTTACACTTCATAATTTCTTACAAATATTACTATACATTTCGCTACAAAATATGCTGACGATATTATTACTAATTTATTAATCAATAATAAAATATGCTATATAATATGGAATATGTTTTCATCCCATTTTATTGAGGTCAACCATTCAATCAACCTTTCAATTATAAATAATATATTAAGTATGACTTTATATGTAGGAGGTATCCTTTATACTTTATTAAATGTATTTTATTTTTAAATCTTCAAAAAATGACCACTAAAATTAAGAATAATTGTTGGAATAATATCTAATAACTGTATTGTAAAACAAAAATCATTAAATTTTCATTCAAAATAAATATTTTTAGTATGTAAAATTTAATTCGTAAAGCCACATACAGCGTCAGAGCATATTATACTGTAGCTACTAGTTCTGAATTTTTTTTAGGGCCTTTATTAAATTAAATATTTACWCATCAATCATAGTARCTTACATGAATGAAAAAATTGTATTATTAAACTAAATTTATTACTATGGAAAATAACTTTAATTTAAAAAGAGTTAGAGGTAGATCGTAAGAATATAAAGATAGGTTAAGAAAAAAACATTTTACACATGAGAAAGGAAGGACATTATTAAATAAATAAAAATAAAAAGACCGAACAGGATATAGAAAAATCAAAGGAGAAGAGGTTTGTGTTTTGATTTTTATCTGTTTYAATACTAATAATAAACCATTTTATTTTAAAAAGAATTTT